AATACAGTACTGATCTAATGTTCAAAATACAGCACTGATCTAATGTCCGAAATGATTTGTTGATCTAATGTCCGAAATACAATGCTGATCTAATGTCCGAAATACAGTACTGATCTAATGTCCGAAATACAGTACTGATCTAATGTTCGAAATACAGTACTGATCTAATGTCCGAAATACAGTGTCAATATAATGTCTGAAATACAGTGCTGATCTAATGTCCGAAATACAGTGCTGATATGATGTCCAAAATACATTGCTGATCTAATGTCCGAAATACAGTGTTGATCTAATGTCCGAAATACAGTACTGATCTAATGTTCGAAATACAGTACTGATCTAATGTCCGAAATACAGTTTTAATCTAATGTCGGAAATACAGTGCTGATCTAATGTCCGAAATACAGTACTGATCCAATGTCCAAAATACAGTACTGATCTCATATCCAAAATACAATGCTGATTTAATGTCCGAAATACAGTACTGATCTAATGTCCGAAATACAGTACTGATCTAATGTCCGAAATACAGTGTTGATCTAATGTCCGAAATACAGTGCTGATCTAATGTCCGAAATACAGTACTGATCTAATGTTCAAAATACAGCACTGATCTAATGTCCGAAATGATTTGTTGATCTAATGTCCGAAATACAATGCTGATCTAATGTCCGAAATACAGTACTGATCTAATGTCCGAAATACAGTACTGATCTAATGTTCGAAATACAGTACTGATCTAATGTCCGAAATACAGTGTCGATCTAATGTCTGAAATACAGTGCTGATCTAATGTCCGAAATACAGTAAGTCACATTTCAAGATAAAATGTTCCATTGTTTTAATACCATTTCCACATTAGGAACACGTACAATCCTCTACACCTGTCCATTGTCTTATTCTGTATGCCAGACCTAGGGTATCCTCGGGGGCGGAGCTACGTCACAGACGTTCTATACCACGTATTTCTATGGGCTTTGTGCGCGCTGCTGTGGAACCGCGGTGGAGCCGGTGAAAACTCGAAAAAACAACACAAACTCAACTTTGAAGTAATCCTGAACAACCAAATGCATATATGTTACACACGTAGGGCTAATCTTGTTACACTGTTCAGGGGACTCTCAACAACCATTGCAAAGTACCGTTTTCTGCGAGTTTTTGGTCTTTGTTTTCACCGCGAGGGTTGCCAGGCGGTAGAAAATGCCCGGATGTCCGCCCCGAGGATATATCTTGTTTTGTGTACCTTTAAAGTTGTTCAAGGAGTTTAGATAATTTTCAGGATTGTTATTCTTGGTTTTGAATATCTTTTTGACTTTTAGACTTGATTTGTTTAACATGTTTATTCATTCAAGTTTAACTCGTCAATATTTTATAGCGTAATGTGTTAAGTTTTTAATCTGTGAATTGTCTATTTTACATATGTTTTATCCATTCTCACACCTTGCTGTCACTTATTGTGGAATCTTTTAAATTAATTAGATTATTAAATACAATTTTCAACCATCTGCAAGCTTTTATGTGGCATAAATGTTTGTAATTCTTTAGTTTCATATTTTTTTAAATGGTTTTAAGTCCAATCACCAATGTCGAATGATCTACGCCCGAAATACAGTACATATCTAATTTGTCCTGATATTTTTCAAAAATCAACATTTTTAGAACACAATGTTTAATTAAGAAAAAATGCTATTGGGCACTTTTTAAAATCAGGTTACAATTTGATATAAGGCATAATATCTCTGTCATAGAAACTTGTAGTAAAAGCGTTAAAATACTGATAAAATTCCTACTATCCACTAAAATACAACCATTAATTTTCTCAAAAATTAGGCTGATTACCCCCCAACTTTTTTAAACTCAATATCTTTATACTGCCCGAGCGTACCATTTATTGTGAAATGAATAAATTCTAGGTATTTGCATTTATGGGTAGGTTTCTCTCTTAATGTCTGAAATACATTACTGATATAATATCCGAAAGACAGTGTGGACCTAAACAACACTATTTATTCTTATATCATCCTGATTCGATCATTTTCCATTTTCCTTGGTTATAGCTGTATTGCTTTTGTATTGCGACTTTCATTGATCTCCAGTTGAGAATATTATTCCTACAACTATCCCTCCAGGGGTAGATAAAGGGGATGTGTTTCCACCCAACACCTGTTCGAGAATCGTGCATCGTACGAGATCGAGAACTCGCATTATTTGAAGGGCGCCCGCTTTCGACCAATCTATTTTTACTGTCAGTTTACCCCTGCCGTTTCCGTGTTGAAACCCGGTTCAATGTCAGGGAAAAAGAAATTCAAGATGGCGACCAGTGAGACAGGAGACGACTCGTTGTACCCAATTGCAGTCCTAATTGATGAACTCAGAAACGAAGATGTTCAGGTAATATGATTAGTAATTAATGTACATACTTTTCTCCACCGATCTGCATAATATAATGGACATACGTAGTTTATATGCAGCGTTTTAGCTCAAATAGTGTATGTAGGTCATGTTGTGACATTTGCATGGATAAATGTACGTAAACGATATTTCGAGACAAGTTTGTTATTTGCCTAATGCTGAACACGTAAAAGGACTTTTATCGTTGTTGTTTAGACATTTATTAAGTAAGTTTCGGTAAGGAATGATCGGTCACAACTGTGAGGCATTTAAAAGAAAAACAAAATTGCCTTCTGACAATCTAATTGGCCAGGACACGATTCGTGTTTACGTTGATGACAAGCTTACTCAGGTTTAATGAATATGTGTTAAGAGTTTCTTAACGTTATGGGTTAATCTCCGCTTCATATACGTATCAGTAGAAATCAATGTGATCATACATATACGTTATGTGTCGAACAAGTCATATTTCTGAAATCTGATATCTTAATCAGCTTAATCTAGTTTTGATTTATGTCATACGAAATAACTATGGTTTTGACAAGCAAAATGCAGTTTTGACAACCCAAGATGTTTTTCACCATCCCCTTAGTCTTAGAATGGGTTGTTTACATCAATAGTTTAAGAAATTCTGATTATTTATCTTTGTTATTAATGTTTGCAAGACTGTACTTGCTATAATTTCCCTATATATTTCCTGCTGACATTATAACTATTGTTAAAGCGACAATAGCTGTGATTTTGAAATTTTTTAAAAGTATAACCACATGAAGATGACCAAATCTTACTGAAATATTGAAATACTGGAGACCTTGGTGCAGTCTCACGGCCATCTTTTTTCACTTGTGAGTGATTTAACATTGATATGGTGTGCGTGTGCTATGTTTTTAGTTCCACATTTCGGCAATGGCCATTACAAATTGACACTGATGACACGTAATGAAAATAAAAATCGAAGATAACAGATCGATAGTTACAGCTATTATCACTTTAAAATATATATGACTGAACAAAACTAATCTCAGATACTGGCTCTACGAAAAATGATCGATACTGAACTGATAGATACAAGTTAAAAAAGATGAACTTTGTGCTGTTACAAAAAAAAATAAAGATTTTTGAATGTATAAACAAATTGATAAAGTTACATTGGTTAGTGGTCTAAAGGACTGGCATTTAGTCTTCAGTATGTGTTTTTTTTTGTGGAAACGAGTTTCATTTGAAAATGCATGTGTACAAGACATAATTTTATTGTTATGTTAAATCATTGTTTACATCTAAAGTAACCAACTGGGAGGACTCAATGCTATAAATCTGTCTTGTTGTGGTGGAGTTCAATTGTTTGTAAAATTATTATTTGTATTTTCTCTTTATAGCTGAGACTCAACAGTATAAAAAAGTTATCTACCATTGCTCTAGCTTTGGGGGTTGAGAGAACACGCAGTGAACTTATACCATTTTTGACAGGTAATGAATATACTACTTTCAAATACTGGTATTTTTTTCACCAAAATTTATAAGAATCTGTTTTAATCTGTATCATGGTAGAATGATTGTATACCTTGAATAAAGTAAATTTTCAAGACGCATTTAAATTCCCTTGGAACTTGCGTCAAACAGAATTTTAAAAATCCAAAATGCACACAGTTCGAACAATATAGATAAGTTACTGCTCTCGATTTTGTCAGACCTATAAAGAGCTATATTTATAATTATTACGAGCATGAACAGTACTTATTGACATATCCATCTCTGTTCTGATACAACTTTGTTCTCATCTGACACTGATGTATTGATCTTTATCATACATGCAGTAACATGCTCAGTCGAGCAAAACTTGTATTTGGTATTCAGTTTAAGTTTCAAATTGCAATATGTTGTTTCCTAGATACCATATATGATGAAGATGAAGTGTTGTTAGCTTTAGCTGAGCAGCTGGGTAGTTTTACTCCATTGGTTGGTGGTCCTGCACATGTTCATTGCTTACTGGTAAGTTTAACTCGCTACTAATTACTATAAAAAGCCAACATTTCAACATTTATTATATTCAATAAACACACCCTGTATTTTGTTTCTAGCCACCTCTGGAGAGTTTAGCAACTGTTGAAGAGACTGTGGTACGTGATAAAGCAGTTGATTCTTTACGTAATATATCAGAAGAGCACTCGGCCTCTGATTTAGAATCTCATTTTGTTCCGCTTGTTAAACGCCTGTCTGGTGGTGATTGGTTTACATCAAGGACTTCAGCATGTGGGTTATTCAGTGTCTGTTATCCCAGGGTGTCTAATAATATGAAAGCAGAACTCAGAAAGTAAGTCATTTATAAATATCCTGTTAGCTAAGGCAATTACCCCTAATTGTACCAACTCGGTGAAAACTCAATGGGACTGGTACAATTAAGGGTTAAAGCCATCATGCTGCATAGTGTATACTATAAAATGGCTAATTTTCACTGGGTTTAAATTTCACTGATTTAGCATTTTAGGCATATTCAGCAGGTTTTAAATTCACAATTTTAGATAATGTTTTCTATGCTTAATTTTACATATTCACTGGGTTTTAATTTAGCGCATTTTCCAGTCAGCGAAATAAGCAAAATTAAAACCCAGTGAATAGTTAACCCTTTTACATTACTATAGTTAGGTAATCATATGTATGTATTCGTATACAATGTATGTAAAATTAAAAAAAAAAAAAAAACGTTTTCAATAATAGTACATTTTAATCATTAAAAATGCACTTATTTTGGCCATAATAAACACTATACTGTAAAATACTTTATTTTCGCCTACAACTTATTTTCGTTGAAGGAAGTTAAAATAAAATCCAATATACCTTTTTCCCATATTTTACATTCAACTCGTCAAAAATCAGTGAAAATAAATTCCATTCAAAACACCCAAAAAGTCTTTTCAGCAAATATTAATTCCAGCTAAAATAAAGTATTTTAGAGTAATTTCCTAAGTGAAAGCTCTACTAATCGATATGGTACACTGTTGACAACAAATTTGAATGTATGAGATGGCAACTGTATCACTTTGAACTACCCACATGACAAAACAATATGCTTGTTTTGCTTTATTAGAAATGCATCTGCAATGATAATGTATACAAATAAAAAATAGCTTGTGTTGTATACTAATTATTTGCCCATAGAAACACCTTTGTAATGTACATCCGTTACTAGTATAGCAAATATGGCATTCCATATTCTTGGGATAACAAATTTCAGTATGAGGCATAAATAAAAACTGACAGAATTAAATATATCATTTTAAATTAATTACATGTATAAACTAAATCTTTGCACATTAATTTCTGTTGGCTGTAATACGGTGTGCACAACGATAGTACTACCGTAGTATGGACCTACATGTAGTTGTGGTTGATCTATTATGTAGTGCCATCAATGCTTATTTTGTGCTAACTTCGTTTAAATTTAATCGCCAGCATGGAGGTCTTTTGTAATCATTACATTCTGTAAAGGGGTTAGTTATTCACTAGGTTTTAATTTTGCTTATTTCGCTGACTGGAAAATGCGCCTAAATTAAAACCCAGTGAATATGTAAAATTTAGCATCTAACTGATAAAACCGTGAATTTAAAACCCACTGAATATGCCTGAAATGGTAAATCAGCGAAATTTAAACCCAGTGAAAATTAGTCATTTAACAGTAATTAGATGTATAATTGTGATATAGAATACATATACAAAGATCATTTACAAATTACTGCTGAGATTGTTTGTATTTGCTGCTTGTGATATGTCATTCATGATCAGTTATTTTACATCATACCGACAGTAATTTCCGTAACTTGTGTGGTGATGATACGCCGATGGTAAGGAGAGCAGCTGCTAGCAAACTAGGGGAATTCGCCAAGTCTGTGGAGTTGGAATATGTCAAGTCTGATCTGATCCCGTTATTTGTGAATCTAGCCGGGGATGAACAGGTCAGTCAGGTATTCAAGTGTGCTTGGTTACATAAATAATCGCTATTATCGTGATAACATAAATGATCGCTGTTATTATTTGAGACTGAACCATGTCTGAAAGCTGTTCGACTTGTGGTTACACAAGTAAAGGTGTATGTCTAATTTATCATGCAATGACTTTTTAAAAATGAAAACCAATGAAGGGTATGTAATGTAATTGTTTTTATTGCTTTCTAGGATTCTGTTCGTTTACTTGCTGTTGAAGCGTGCGTCAGTATTGCATCTTTGTTAAAGCCTGAAGATGTTGAGAGTTTAGTGATGCCTACTTTACGTCAATGTGCAGAAGACAAATCATGGAGAGTTCGTTACATGGTGGCTGACAAATTTACTGAAGTAAGCAGCTATATCATCTCTGGCTTCATCACCAAAGCACTAAACTACAAATTAAGACATATTTTTGAACTTCTCTAAATCTGCTACTCAGAATAGTTTAAAATAGCTAACTAGTTGATATTATATTTTGGTCAAACACAATATTGGTAGTTGTGCAATTATGCCTATTGATCCAGGTATTACATTTTGCTTTCAGATTCAAAAAGCCGTTGGCCCAGAGATAGCAAAGACAGATCTAGTGCCAGCTTTTCAGAGTCTTTTGAAAGATTGTGAGGCTGAAGTCAGAGCTGCTGCAGCACATAAAGTTAAAAAATTTTGTGAAGATTTAGATCCATCAGTTCGTGAAACTGTTATTATGAATAATATATTACCATGTGTGAAGGTCAGTATTCAATGTATTCATCTTGCATTCCTATCTGTTGCATTAATTTATTTTTTCACACACCCAGGGATTTTTTTGAACAAGAAAACTGGTGAAGCACCCTCATGCCATGGCCATGCGTTTCCTTACCCTGGGGAGCAGATCCTCTGGCAACCATAAAATTCTGATTGACCAGGGATCACATGGCCACAGTCTTCAACTGTGACCTGTCTGATAGTAATTTTGGTCCCAAGGAAGCCATAGAATGCACCATTTTAACTTAGAATTATCAAAAACTCCACACCCTGGAAGGGGGAACCCTATCTTCCTCTGAATTTTCTAGAAAAAAACCTGCACACTTCAACTGTTAACAAAATATGCCATCAGCTCATTGTCTGTATAATAAAGTAATTAAATAACATAGCCCATTCTTCACTGCATTCATATGGAAAAGATTGTGTTGCTGTAACAATTTTAGTTTTTTTTTTTTTTAGGAATTGGTATCTGATGCAAATCAACATGTGAAAAGTGCATTGGCATCTGTAATAATGGGATTATCCCCAATATTGGGCAAAGACAAGTAAGTACCATTGTTAAAGTTTGTTCTGCCTTCCAGAGCGATGAATTTTGTAATGGCATTGTTGTAGGTAGTTTAGTATTGCATCTTTCTCTCACCCAAAGGGAAAGGTTCAGTGAAGTTTAAATTTATTTTTTGTTAAAGAACAAATATATTGCCCAGCTAAAAATTAAGCTATGTAAAGTACTTCATCCATATTGTGTGGTAGTTGCATCAAATCTGTTTACTTGTCTTGTATTTAATTCTCATTTTTTTCTAGTATCGACAGAATGAAGAATATTCTCTCAAAGTATGATGATAATAAGCTACATTGAATAACATATAAATATACATTATATTTCCTCACTAGTACAATTGAACATTTGCTGCCCTTGTTTCTGGCACAATTGAAAGATGAATGTCCTGAAGTTCGACTCAACATCATTTCTAACCTAGACTGTGTGAATGAAGGTTATAGGCATCAGACAACTGTCCCAATCGCTCCTTCCAGCTATTGTTGAACTTGCTGAAGATACTAAATGGCGTGTGCGGCTGGCTATTATTGAGTACATGCCCTTATTAGCAGGTCAACTGGTTAGTAGTCAAGTCACCCCACACAATGTTAAGGGTGTACTCAGTAATACTGGGCTGTACACACACATGCTACTGTGCGTCTACAACCTAGCTTATATACCTCTTCCTACTCAGCAGCAATACTCTATCAGCACTATACACTCACCAATTGATAATGCCCTTATACTACTAATACTCAATGGACTTGTAACAAGTATGGCTAGACACACATGCCTGTGTGTTCTGTTTCACACGGTCTCTCTTGCTACAAGTCCATTATAGTATCAGTTTGAAAGTAGTCGGCTAATACAATTGATTAGTGTATCGAATATATAATGCTTTGCTTTCTGGCTCTGATTTTGCACATATTTACTGAAATGGCTTTGAAGACCAATAGAAGATTCAACGTTCATAGTACACAGTACACAGTATTAGAGTATTGCTGTATTTAGCTTAGTGTAACTGTACCACTTGCTACCCATCCTACATCTTGTATCTTCTCTTTTACTCCTGTAGTTCATTACCAGTGTGAACAAAGATTCTTCTATGGCTACCCAGATATTCATTTGATTTCACATGACTACCTAGATATTCATTAGATTTCACATGACTACCTAGATATTCATTTGATTTCACATGACCACCTATATATTCATTTGGCTTCACATGACTACATAGATATTCATTTGACTCCACATGACTACCTAGATATTCATTTGACTCCACATGACTACCTGTATATTCATTTGATTTCACATGACTACCTAGATATTCATTTGATTTCACATGACTACCTGTATATTCATTTGACTCCACATGACTACCTAGATATTCATTTGGCTTCACATGACTACCCAGATATTCATTTGACTTCACATGACTACCTAGATATTCATTTGACTCCACATGACTACCTAGATATTCATTTGGCTTCACATGACTACCTAGAGATTCATTTGATTTCACATGACTACTTATATATTCATTTGATTTCACATGACTACCTATATATTCATTTGATTTCACATGTCTACCTATATATTCATTTGATTTCACATGACTAGCTATATATTCATTTGACTTCACATGACTACCTGTATATTCATTTGACTTCACATGACAACCTGTATATTCATTTGATTTCACATGACTACCTGTATATTCATTTGACTTCACATGACTACCTAGATATTCATTTGGCTTCACACGACTACCTATATATTCATTTTACTTCACATGACTACCTGTATATTCATTGCCCTCACATGGTTACCATGGCATTTATCAAATTCATCCTTGTGAGATGGGAACCTCCAGGTTGCACCAATATTGTTTGCCATAGTAAGATAGACATTGGAATCATTAATTATATTGGTATCTAAGATACATCTTTATTCCAATACTATTACCATAGTAACCCAGCACTAGACCAATTGAAATTAAGTGTGTTTAGTTCATTATACTTGTCTGCTTGCTTGCTTACTTTGTGTTTGTGAATATCAGAACACAAATAGTGTTGACTCTGTATTGCTCAAACCTCACAAATGTCTTTTGATGATCTCAGAGCATTGGATGTAAAACAAATTCAGTATTGTGAGTTTAATAACTGTCAGTATTACCAGTTGACACAGTGATTAGTACATTATTGGTAATCCATGTGTTAGATGTGATAGACCTTGAATTATTATCTTGTTGGATGGACATGGCCACTTTATGCCATTTATTTGATTTGAAATCACGTCTCAATTACACTGACATTTATTTTATGCTTTTTGAATGGAGTCAAACCTTTGGGAAATGTTGAATGAAATATCACTTATTAGCTAAAGACAGAAGACGCAAGATTGTGATACGATTTGTAGAAATCTCATTGTATGGTATATTGAAAGCTGGTGTACCCTTGCCTGATTGGCATTGATATATTGTGAATGACTTACTCCATACTGTTAAAACTTGGCTTGATAGAGCCAACTCTTAAGTGAGCAGCCATTGTACGGTCATTTCTTGCCTTCAAAATTTAAACATCCCTTTGCAACTCTTTCACATAGGTATCCAAAACTTATTACCATAAAATCTGTATTAGAAGTCGCATCTCTAATATAAGTCGCATCAATTCTTTTTGAACAATTTAGAATCAAACATTTACCATTCCTCATATGTGTAGATGCTCTATTAGAAGCCGCATCCCCTCTGTTGCATTGTATCATTTTAATTGAAGCCGCAGGTTCTAATACAGATTTTACAGTAGTAAAGGTCTTTTTTTCCTCAACATCCCACTTTGTAAGATTACTACTAATTGATTGGTGCCCATCTAGTATAAATAATAACATATTGAGAGATATTGAATCATTACAGGGAGTGGAATTCTTTGATGAAAAACTTAATACTTTATGTATGGCATGGCTTGTAGACAATGGTAAGTAGAAAATTGTCATCTAAACAGAAGATAAAGAAAATGGATGTTCTCATATAATTCTGGTAAATAGGAATTTAATGCAGACTTGTCAGGATAATGGAGTACAAACATGATGTGACTGTTATGAATTATGAATAGTGACTGTGGTCTTCAACATCTTGTATTTCTAGCAGT